AAAAGGCTTGCCGATCTTATTTGGGACTAGATTAGTCCTATCCCAATCAGAAAAATATTTAGGAATTATCCTGGACTGCAAACTGAGCTGGAAAGAGCATGTTGAAAACAAGGTGAACAAGGCTCGTAATTCAATGTGGGCCTGCAGACGTATTGTCGGTGTAAGGTGGGGGCTTAAACCCAAAGTGGTACACTGGCTCTAGATGACGATAGTACGCCCATCTCTCTTGTACGGCTCCCTGGTCTGGTGGCCTTGCATTAGAACTGAGACAAATAAGGCCATACTCAATCAAATTCAGCGTTTGGCCTGTATTAGCACTACAAGTGCAGTGCGAACAACGCCATTGAGTGCAATGCAAGCTTTGCTGGATCTCCCACCATTGGATCTAGTGATCCGCGGTGAAGCAAGAGTAGTCGCTCATCGACTGTGGAGTCAGGGCAGCTGGGCCTTCTTGAATCCTGTCAAGGGGCATACTGCCATCTTAGTCGATGAGCGGGCAGGTCTCTGGGCCTAGCACTAGGCTATTTCTGCCTCTCGATGGATACACCACTATTTTCCAGTCGGAAATCTTTGTGCGATTGTGGCTTGTATATCTCTCATTCTGGAGGAGGGTGGGCCCAGGAGAAGAATAACAATCTTATCCGACAGCCAGGCTGCTATCAAGGCACTAAGTGCCTGTAAGATTACTTCGAGCCTTGTATTGCAATGCAGGCAGGCTCTGGATTGTCTCGCAGCGAGACATCCGGTATCGATAATGTGGGTACCGGGGAACGCTGGGATAAGTGGCAATGAGACGGCGGACGCCAGATGTAGGACTGCCCGTGCAAAGAGTTAGGAGGAAAACGGAGACGTGGATTGCAAGACAACTCTCAGAAATGGAGAAGTATCTCCAGAGATCTCCGTCAGGCACGGGAACTCATTGTAGGGCCCCGTGTTAAGGATGGACGTTTCTGCTTCTCTGGATAGAGCCAACCTAAGGTTGCTGGTGGGACTGTTGTCCGGCCAGAACACGTTAAGACGCCATGTGCTCGTGATGGGGGTAGCTGAGGATCCCTTGTGTGAGAGCTGCGGGGTAGAGGAAGAGACCTCGACGCACGCATTCTCAACTTCGCTAGAAATGCGAGGCTTGAGCTCTAAGGAATGTAAAGGGGCATAAGGGACCGTTTAAGCGGCCTATGCACTTGCTCCTTATGGGGTCCGGAATGCCTCTAATTTCACGATTTATCGCTAGAAAACCGTTTTCCTTTTTCCAGAAGTGGTCAAATAATCGATGCAGGCTTTGGCGAGGTGAGCTGGAGGTTTGTCATGTTGGAGGTACCAAGTGTCCATTCTTCACTTTTGCCGCAGGTTTTTCATAGACTTTAGCCAGGCACTATTCCGTGTACCACTTAGCTGTGAGTGTCTTCTGTGTGCCCAAAATGACACGCCTCAAAATCCCGTTTGATTTGACAAATACAGCTATCATTTTTTCTTAACAGATCGGGATTTTCTGACAGCTACGGGTGTGTCCTCATCATCAAAGACCCAAACTTTGTTTTGAGACTTGGTCGGTACATCGTAATAATCGTGTCACGCCACTGGTTGAAACTTTTTTCCACAGTGGCAACCATTTTGTTTTCCCCGCCAGTCATCTCTGCCCTTTGGTCACCAAGAAATGTTGGAAAATAAACAATGATGAATGAACGGCAGTGTCTATCATCTATACAGGGTTATCCAAATTAAGTGACCACCATTAGTAACTTTGTTATTAGTGAAAATACAAAGTTGTTTGAATTAGCAAACTAGTAGCATTTTTAACGCTGGTAAAAATGAGAAATAAAAAAAAAACAATTGAGAGTCGTTATTTTGATTTTTTTCAGTAAATAACATTTT